CATTAATTACATTTTTAAAATGAACTTAATTATGTTAACTTTGGTTTTCTTTATTAACCAACTTTAAATATTTTCCTTTCCTCTTGTCACCTGATTTATTTCCCCAAATATCTTTTATTTTTACTTTATTTTTTTCTACTGTTCTGCTTCAGCTAAACCATCTGAAACATACAAATAATAAAACTAAAACTGCCTAAATCACAAATGAACATATCAGTGGTAAACATTTATACTTTTGCCCAACGCAGAAATAAAATGAAAAATGAATTGGGGGGTAATGTACTTTAAAATAAATAAGTACTGTTAATTGAAATAAATACAGTAATAAATAGCAACAGAAATCAGTTCATTTATGTCCATGTAGCATTAATATTCACTTTGATGACTTTATTAGCAAATGTATAATACCGTAATGTAATTTATATTTTTGGCTTCTCTGGTTCTCCGTACACGTATACCCAGCCGCTCCCACGTATTACTCTCCGCATGAGGGGAAACAAAAACGTCCCAGGCTCCTGGCTGCTCCTTGAAAGCAGCACTGAAGGACCACTGACCCTGCTGATGTCTCTTTACTCGTCTTCCTGCTTCAGGCTTTGTGACGTCAGAGCTTCGGGTCTCTTTTGAAGACTGAAATCTCGTAAAGCTGCAGATTTTCTCGTGTTAGGACTCTTTACGCCGTCGCCGCCTTTTCTTCTTCTTCTCCTTTCTGAGAGACTCCTCAGGACTGTGTTCATGTTTGTATCTCCGATTGAAAGATGTGCACTAAATCGAGTTTATCAGCACAAAGTGTCTTTGAGAGAAATGTCAGAAAATGTCCATGTGATTACAAAATAAAGAGAAAAGAAATCTGTTCAGCCTTGAGTTTGATTAGCGCTGGAATTTATTTGCAATTAATTTTTATTTAATTGTTATTCATATGACTTCTTTATTGTGTTATGATTTTGGCACTTAGAGTCCTCCATACCACTGATAATATCATGTAAATACAGTATGTAATACATTTATGCATAAATGAGAAAATAACTTGAAAGATCAAATGAGAACATTTTAGAAATTTGGATTTGATTCCCACACAAGTGCAAGAAACACGAGAGCAAATAAAAGCTCTATTTTTGTCTGTTTCAAAGTTAAATGAACCACCAGGGGGCGGTGTTCCCCCACTGCGGTTGTTGATGGGTGTTTTATAGCACCTTTGTCCTCACAGAGGAAATGTGCTCTTACTATCTCTCTTGGTTAAATAAAGGTAACCCTGGGTCGCTGCACCATCTGGTGGTAGAAACTGGTATTACATGGATGTGCAGCCTGGCCATATTTCAGCTTTAGTTGATATTTTTTGGACACAATAAACAGATGATTTGAACATAAAGTTGCAGTGGGTGTATCCTCACAGTCCGCTCCTAGCTTTAGTAAATTTTGGAATAGGTACCTTTCATGCCCACATAGCAATTTAGTGACAGACCATTTACTGATTCACGTTTTTGTCCATATATTTT